TGGTTCTATCCAACTTTAGACCTGTCTCACTGCTTGGTTTTGCTCTATAAACAACTGCTCTGAGAAGCGAGGGTCTCTAGCAACCCCCTTCAGACCCTTTCAATCTCTTAGAAGCTTTTCTTTCTCTCAGTAAATACTTCTTACTCTTAACCTATTGTTCTAGAATTCATTCTTCAATTTTATTTTATTTTATTTTTTCGGAACCAGGGATTGAACTCAGGCCCTTGCGCTTGCCAGGCCAGCGCTTATTCTACTGAGCCATCTCCCTGGCCCCCTCATTCTTCAATTTTAGAAAACATAAACTTGAGTATCAGACTGCATAGCAGGCTAGGAGTTTTTTTTTTTTTTTTTTTTTCTCAAGCCCTTGCACTTGCCAGGCAAATGCTTATTCTACTGAGCTATCTCCTCCTCAGCCCTAAGAATTCTTTTCCTTTTTTTTTTTTTTTTTTTTTTTTTGCGGAATCAGGGATTGAACTCAGGCCCTTGTGCTTGCCAGGGAAGCGCTTATTCCACTGAGCCATCTCCCTGGCCCCACTCTTTTCCATATATTATTTAGAGATCCTATATCATCCTTATATCAAGAGTGAACATTGGTTTTTCTTCTTTTTTTTTAACTTCTTATATATTTAGTACAGGATCTTCAAGGTCTCACTATGTAGATTGGAAGTGTAGTGATTCTCCTGTTTTCAACCTCCCTGCTCAATCACAATCTCAACGTGCTCTGGGGCAGGGCTGCAGGGCAGGCTGGGGATTGAACCCGGCCACTGCCCTCTGCGCTTTAGTCCACTGGGCTATCTGGCAGGCCCTGCACACTGGGTTTCTTTACTTTTACAGAGCCCTGAACAGAGACTTCCTGTAATTTCTTAGGTTGCTGGTTGTCTTCAGTGTGTGGCTTCCAGAGAGTCTCCAATAGTAAAATTACTGCCTTCAGGGCCTGGGACACTTGATGTCTCCAGTGCAGACACACAGGCCCCTTGCCCTGTGAGCCTAATTGACTTTACGGATGCAAGTAGTATAAGCATCACACAGATTTATTTGACTTTTTTTTTTTGGCAGATAGGCAAGTGCTTATTCTACTTAGCCATCTCCCTGGCCCCTGACATATTGTTAAGTGAGTGCTTTCATAAGCCTTGAACAATGGACTGAGTGGTGGTGCACACCTGTAATCCCATCCCAGAGAAGGCTCAGGCAGGAGGATTACAGACCCTGTCTTTAAATTAAAAAAAAAAAAAAAAAAGGAAAAAAGTATTGTTGCAGGGGCTGGTGAGATGGCTCAGTGGTCTAAAGCACCTACTTAGAACAAGCTTAGCAAAGCACAGGGACCGTGGTTCGATCCCCCAGCACCACATGCCAGCCAGCCCTGCCCCCAGGTGGGCTGAGCTGGCCACACACACACACACAATAAATAAATAAATAAACGTTTGTTTAAAAAAATTTTTTTGTTTAAAAAAAAAAAGTATTGTTGCTATTCCTGGGCACATACCTGTAAGCCCAGCTACTCAGGAGCCTGAGGCAGGAAAATAACATGTTTGAGGCTAGCATGGACAACGTACAAGGCTATTATCTCATTTTTTTTTTTTTTCTTTAAAGAGCTGGGATATAGCTTAGTATGAATTTCAACTCCCAGGATAACATGAATGAATCACTCATACATTCCAGGGAGGCATCATCTGTAATGGAAACGCAAGGGGCCACGAGCAGTGCTGGCTCTCCTGTGTGTGCGGCTGATGGGAACTGGAATGGCACGGGTGCTAAGAGTGTAGTTTGGAAGGGGAAGAAAGTGAGTCTTGAGCTGGGTGTGGCAGTGTGCACCTGTGAGCGCAGCATCCTGGCGCTGGGTTCAGTTCCCAGGAGCAGCAGCAGCAGCCTCTGGGAGGGGTGCTGCACTTCCATAATCCCAGCACTCTGGGTGACCGAGGCAGGAGGATTGCAAATTCAAGCCCAGCTAGGTGACTCAGTGACTTAAGCTCTGTCTGAAAATAAAAAAAAAAAAACTGACAAGGTCTGAGGGTGTAGCCTATTGCAGCCTATTGCAGAAGCCGTGGGTTCAAAGCCCCAGTACCACACAGACAACAGGTGAGCATGGCACAGGCCTGTTGTCCTGGGACTCCGTGAGGCTGAGGCAGGAGACAAAAAGTAAATGCAGACACAAGGAAAAGAAAACTCAGCAGAGGGTGACAAAGGTGAATGAGGAGTTTTTACTTAACACTAGGGTTGAGCTAGTGTTTGAGAGGCTGAAGGAGCTCCAAAAATGAGCAATAGTGAAAGTTATACAACATGGTAAATGTACTTACTGCCACTGAATTATATGCTGAAACAGTTAAAATGGTAAATTTTGGTTGATATGTGATGTGCCGTACCACCCATGTCAAGCTGGACATGGTGATATGTAACTAAGGCAGGAGGAGGAGGTAGTGAGTTCAAGGCCAGCTTAGAATACATAGTGAGACCCTATTGCAAAAACAAAAAACACAAGCCTTATTGTACTTGGCCTGTTCATGTCTTTTTTTGGTTTAGCATTTGATTTTTAATTAGTGCCTGTTTGCAGTGCTCTTGAGCCCATTGTGCTCCAGAAGCTGGCACCTGTCCACAAGGTCCCAGTGTCACCTCTGACACCCCCCATCCCTGCAGTGGATAGTCCTAGGGGATCCTCTTAGCAGGGGCTCAGTGTGTTTGCACTGGTGGATGTATTTAGGTCGAATTCCATTGGTTTTGCAAAGAGTTGAGAACACTATACCCAGTAGGTTTTTTTTTTTTTTTTTTTTTTTTATTCCTCACATGAATTTATTAAAATTTTTGCCCAGCACTTTGGAGGCTGAGGCAGGATGATCAGTGAAAGTTTGAGCCAGCCTAGACTATATGGTGAAATCAAGGCAGCCTCAGTACACAGCAAGATCTCATCCCAAGAAACCAAGAAAAGGGCTGGGGCCACTGTTCAGCAGCACAGCACCTACCTGGGAATCCCGAGTTTATGAGCTTGATTCCTGGTACCAAAGAAAACAGAAAAAGAAACCAAAACAAGAAAAAAGAAAGAGGGGCCTGGGAGATGGCTCAGTAGAATAAACGCTTGCCTGGCAAGTGCAAGGGCCTGAGTTCAATCCCCAGTTTCACCAAAAAAAAAAAAAAAGAAAAAAAGAAAGAAAGAAAGAAAAAAAAGAAAGAAAAAGAAAAGAAAAAAGAAAGAAAGAAATTCTGGCTGTGGGTAGGTGGGAGAAAAGTCAAGTGAGGACCAGGCTAGGCTGGCAGCAGTAAAGTGCCCTGCCTAGCATGCACATAGCCCTGGGCTTCAACCTTAGCACAGAGAAGGAACCCAAAAGCCACAGCAGGAAGCCTGGCCACTGGCTTCCTGAGCCCTCCAAGGAAGCTTGTCTCTGCCTATGGGAATCTGTTTGGGACCCAAGTGCAAGTGGAAAACCCATGTCTGGCTGAGCAGCCAGGCTCCAAATGTGGAGCTGGGCCAGCTTCCTGGATCCTGACAGCTGTCTGGGTGGCAGGGATGGGACTGGGATGGCCTCTGTCAGGACTGCTGTTGGGCAGTGACCTTGAGATCTAGCAATGGCCCTGGTCCTTTGCTGCTGCTGTGGACGCAATGCCAGGGGTTAAGGGGAGGGAGACTCCTATCTTGCTTTTCCCAGGGGCTGCCCAGCCACTGAGCCTGCCACCTACATGAGCCGCCCCCAGGAGAGGGTGGCTCTGGCTGTCTGCCAAGCTGGGGCATAGACAGTCTGCACATGGGGACCCCTTAGGTGACTCTGGTGGCTGATGGAGGCATGAGTGTGGAAGGTGGATTTTGCCTCTGGCCAGGCAGGGATTTCTCTGTGGAATGAAAGGCATGGGAAATGTCCCCAGCAAGACAGAAATCCCTTGTCTCTTGCCACTTGGTGGCAAGTGTATTTTGAAAACTCCACCCCTTCTTGTCCTCAGCCTGTCCTTTCCTCGTAAGTGGCTTTATTGTTATTTTCTAATCCACCTTTGCCACTGGACATTTATTGACAGAAGTCAAATCGCTGTTTCTGGGCAGAGCCCTGCCGCAGAGAGGTGTGGTTCGGACGAATGAGATGAGCAGCCCAACAGCGGAGCCTCCCTGTCCTCATATAACCTCTCTGCCTTAAATATCGCCAATATTTCGCCTTGCCTTATAAAGTAAAAATGCACAATACCTTCCAGAGTTTCAGCGAGCCCCAAGGCCCCCCTGGGCTCCGAGGCAGCTCCTGTGAGGTGCAGGCGGCGCAGCGTCCCCTCCCCCAGGCGGACCTGCCCTGGCTGCCACCCAGAGGTGACTGATCAGGGAGACTCCGCCATCGATCTGGCCGCCACCTGGGGGATTGGCGTGCATTGTTTTGGCTGCAGCCTCCTGTGATTTCGCCACGACCAGATCCTCTGTGGAGAACTCCATGTCACAGCTTGGGGCTGCCTGCGTCCTGTGGCGAGAGCCAGCCGCACAGGAGATCCTTTGTCTAGGAAGGGCCAGGCTGAGAAGATCACTTTGGAGTTGCTAAGCTCTGCATTGCCATTGGCTGCACCGCGTAGGGCTGTTTTTGCAAAAGGCATGCCCAGCACGTCGACAGCGCTGGCAGGCCGGGGCTGCCTTCAAACACCATGATAATAACACCAAGAGCAGTTTGCAGATCTGCTCCACTGACGAGGCTTCCTCTGCAGAAGCAAGATGGCTACCTCGTGGGCTTCGCCGTGAAGAATGCAGAGGCTAATTGAGGCAGACTTTAAGGGAAAGCAGGGTGTTTCCCTCCTTCATCTTGATGCAAGGTTTTTTTTTTTTTTTTTTTTTTTT